TGTACTCTAGGACGAATATGATTAGGAATCTTGTGAGAAACTTCCATCTTTCTTTGAGACGACCACTGGAGGACGAATTGAAAGACGCAAGGCACCCCCAATAAGCGACCCGAAAGGGGATTGCAAGGTGTAGGGCTCAAAGAGCTCCAGAGGGCGCCACGTGTTTGAGGGGTTGAAGAGGCTTTTGGAAGCCTCTACCCTTTCGAAGCTTACCCAAAAAGGGCTGATCAAGACACGGATCAACATCCCGTGCGCTCTTACGGCTTGCATTCTCGTACACTCCATTAAGTTGAGGGTACAGTGACAGCAGTGCTTAAGAAATCATAGGATGAAGAAACGAGAACCCTCAGCGTGGCGACCGTTTTCGGTTTTGGGCTGTAGGGTTGACCCTAAACCCTAAACCCTAAACCCTAAACCCTAAACCCTAAACCCTAAACCCTAAACCCTAAACCCTAAACCCTAAACCCTAAACGGTCTAAACCCAAAAGAAAAGGAACCTAGGACCAGCCAGGGAGCCCGTTCCCAGGAGCTCGGGGTCCTCGGCCGGCACCATCTCTGGAACCTGTCATGCCGCCCTAAACTACGTTTAGGGTTTAGGGTTTAGGGTTTAGGGTGTTAGGGTGTTAGGGTGTTAGGGTGTTAGGGTGTTAGGGTGTTAGGGTGTTAGGGTGTTAGGGTGTTAGGGTGTTAGGGTGTTAGGGTGTTAGGGTGTTTAGGGTCTTAGGGCGTTAGGGTGTTAGTATTACGGTTTAGGGTCTAGGGTTTTCCCCTTAAAAGGGTAATATGGGGAATAGTACGTTGTACTTTCTGGGGGGTTCTTAGGCAAAAAGCCTGGGCCCCTTATGGGGGGGGGGGGTGTGCGTGCGGGGTTTTGTAAGATCAAGCCTTAAGCCCTAAACCCTAACCCTAAACCCTAAACCCTAAACCCTGAACCCTAAACCCTAAACCCTAAACCCTAAACCCTAAAGAAGCCATGCCACTCGCCTGGCTGCTGAGGCGTTTGGGGAGGAAGCGGCCAGGCTCGAAGACCACAGCCTGATCCCCGGGTTTCAGGACTCGGGGATCTGTCCTAGGGTTTAGGGTTTAGGGTTTAGGGTTTAGGGTTTAGGGTTTAGGGTTTAGGGTTTAGGGTTTAGGGTTTAGGGTTTAGGGTTTAGGGTTTAGGGTTTTCGGTTTACGGTTTAGGGTCGTTACATGTTCCTTTAAAGGGGAACCCCTTATGCACCCCTTCTATGCCCTATAACCCTTGAAATAAAAGTAACTACCCGGGTCTAGGGGGGTCCAAGGGCATCCAGACGTACCTGGGCCTAAAACCTGCGGTGTTGGGGCAATCTGCCGCCGGCGAACGACCCTCTACCAATCTCAACATAACTCAGCCCTTCAGCGATCATCAGGAATGGCTGAGGCTTATATAGGCTCTGGTCTATATTGGGAATCTTGAACCAGGCGAAGTGTAAGGCAACGGCATGGCGGCCTCCGCTTTCACATGTGTTCCCAACAAGATTTGTGCAATCCTGGTGGTGTGCATTTGTCAAGACGCCGAAGACAAAGATGATCCAGACGCAACAGGGCCAGACACAAGCAATCGTACACTCCACTTCCTCATTCTTTGAACGCAATGGCTGCAGGCACAGGCGAGTTTTCAGACTGCTACGAAGAAATTAAGCCCTGCCTCCCTTCGACCTTTGGCTCCTGAACTTTGTATCTTACGTTGCTTCTGGAGACTAAAACCAAAACCCTAAACCCTAAACCCTAAACCCTGAACCCTAAACCCTAAACCCTAAACCCTAAACCCTAAACCCTGACTGCGTGAACTGACGACATGGCCTGGAGAAGATCACGCAGCCTTTGCTGTGAGAGCGCATGCACTCGATCCTCACAGGTACAGTGACACAGCGGAGATCTTGCAGGGAATTGAGCCACGGTTTAGGGTTTAGGGTTTAGGGTTTAGGGTCTAGGGTTTAGGGTTTAGGGTTTGGGGTTTAGGGTTTCGGGTCTAGGGTTTAGGGTTTAGGGTTTGGGTTTAGGGTTTAGGGTTTAGGGTTTAGAGTGGCATGTTTGGGTTCATGTTAAGTAACTGAAATACTTAAATCCAGCAGGAACTTCAGTCACAGAGTAGATGACATGGCGTCCTTGTGATGCTACCTTCACGTGGGCAGTTCCCAAAACAGGGGTACCCTGCTTAAACACCCAAATAGAATGGAAACCCTAACCCTAAACCCTAAACCCTAAACCCTAAACCTTAAACCCCCATGACAAGAGCCCAGGGCTTTCTGGCAGAGCGTCCTCCGTGGAAAAGAAGTTGAGGCAGAGAGGCATTCGCAGGTAGGGCACCTGCGAATTTTAGGGTTTAGGGTTTGGGGTTTAGGGTTTAGGGGCACCTGAGAATCAAGGGTTCCCGTACCCGAACCCTAAACCCCTAAACCCCTAAAACCCCCTAAAACCCCCTAAAACCCCCTAAAACCCCCTAAAACCCCCTAAAACCCCTAGAACCCTTAAAACCCCTACAGCCCCTAAAACCCGAGAAAATTGAGTGCCGGCCAGGAAAAATGGCCGCCCACAAGGCGAGGGTTCACCGTGTGGCCCGCTGACTTGTTGTCGAGCTGCAAGTCTTGGACTACTTCTGGGGGGGGTTTAGGGTTTAGGGTTTAGGGTTTAGGGTTTAGGGTTTAGGGTTTAGGGTTTAGGGTTTAGGGTTTAGGGTTGGTTTAGGGCTTAGGGCTTAGGGCTTAGGGCTTAGGGCTTAGGGCTTAGGGCTTAGGGCTTAGGGTTTAGGGTTTAGGGTATAGGGTTTAGGGTTTAGGGGTTGAGAGTCAAGGGCGGAGACCTCACAGGGCTTGGGATGCGAAAGCCCTGCCTGTAGGAGAATCCTTGAACGACCTACGTAAGACCAAAAACCCTAAACCCTAAACCCTAAAGACCACAAACCCTGACCCTGAAGACCTGAAATCCTAAACCCTACACCCCCTCAGGGGCCCAAGACTAGAGAATCTTTACGGGCAGGGCTTGTCAGGTGGCCTCTTCACCTCCTAGTTAGCCTATTTGGCATGGGAGGGCCTGAGGGTTGCTGATTTAGGGTTTGGGGGATTGGGGGTTTAGGGTTTAGGGTTCCCCAGCCGCCTAAACCCTAAACCCTAGACCCTAGACCCTAAACCCTAAACCCTAAACCCTAAACCCTAAACCCTAAACCCTAAACCCGCCCCAGGGTAAGGAGGGTGAGTAAGCTCGGCACGGTAAGGTACGACAGCATCAGCTCGCTGTCAGCCTGGCCCAAGCCTCCGGAAGCCCAGGTGCCGAACATCAACAGGGGTTTAGGGTTTAGGGTTTTAGGGTTTAGGGTTTAGGGTTTAGGGTTTAGGGTTTAGGGTTTTTGGGTTTTAGGGTTTAGGATTTAGGGTTTAGGGTTTAAGGGTTTAAGGGTTTAAGGGTTTAAGGGTTTAAGGGTTTAAGGGTTTAAGGGTTTAAGGGTTTAAGGGTTTAAGGGTTTAAGGGTTTAAGGGTTTAAGGGTTTAAGGGTTTAAGGGTTTAAGGGTTTAGGGCTGGTTTGGGGTTTAGGGTACCGGGGGTTCAGGGGGTTTGAGAATCTTAGGCTTCGGGGTTGTGGTAGCAATCGGGTTGGGTTGGGACTAAGGGTGGTCGGCGGTTAAGACCTAAGGGTATTGGAGGCTCCAGGTGCGTGGGCTTTGTGTGCTCCACCCTGTCCCAAGCAAGCACCACGCGCATCAGGGCAAGAACTGCGGAGCAACTCTCATGCTCCCGCTGACTTCCACTGAGTCGCGGGTTGCGTGGTAGCTTCGGGAGAGTTGGGGCAGTTCGGCATCGCATGTCTACATCCGGTGCACAAGAGATTGATGCGCATGAGCTGGCACGTGGGCGTCTGTGAGTATAGGAAGGAACAAGAAGGTACCATGTTTAGGATGACTCTCAGCTGCAACCGTCATGAAAGCCGCATTCTTACTGTTCGGTTCGAACCAACAGAAACGAAGCCAATGCCCGCGAGCACTGTCGAGCAGAGGACCGGACGATCACCAAAGGACGGCATCGTGGGGACGTGAAGCACATCGTCCTGGCAAGAGAGCGGCTGTGCGCTTAGGCTTTGGGGTTTCGGGGTTGAGGGCATGAGGGCGTATGGGTCTTGGAAATAAGTTGCTTGTTGTCTCATATAGGGGCCTTAATAATTAGAACAAGGTTTTGGGCGTCATTATCGTATAACTATAAACTGGACATAAGGGAATACACAATTAGCAGTTATTCCGACCCCTATAGCAAGTGTCCGGGGGTCTACCTGTTTACGAACGACGGGGGGCCTTAGTGATTCGTCATGTGCTTGCTTTGGCCGGCATCTGTCATCTCCGAGCCTGGTGGCCCATGACCCTAACACACCTTACTTGGAGGTTCATGGTACTTCTTAACCAATAAAACCTGTACTTCTAACCCACTTGCAACACTTGCAAGTCCCTTAAGTGCCCCAATATGGTCATAAGTACGGTTCTAAGTACACTCCCAAGAAGAGTCCTCCGACCAGATGCTCTGACCAGCCAGATTGCTTGGGAGGGCTTCGCTCTGGTATCGATGCTCGTTCATGGCCTCGGTGCTTGCACAGTGGGATTGCTTGGAAGGTTCAAGCTAGAAGCATGGCCCACTATACCCATCCTGCTAACCCTAAACCCTAAACCCTAAACCCTAAACCCTAAACCCTAAACCCTAAACCCTAAACCCTAAACCCTAAACCCTAAACCCGACTTCGGTAGCTGTAAGAAAGGACTGCATGCAACTTCATTGGGGTTACGGGCGTCAGTTCCACGAGCCTCCCCACGTCTGTTTAGGGGCACTTCGGGCCTGGGGTTCAGGGTTCAGGGCTTGGGGGTTTACGGCCGAAAGGGGAAATATTAAGCCGGAAGCCGGAGCGTAAACCCTAAACCCTAAACCCTAAATCCTAAACCCTAAAACCCGAAACCCGAAACCCTAAACCCTAAACCCTAAACCCTAAACCCTAAACCTCAACCAAACAACGCTAAACCCAAGGCCCAGGCTGGTTTTTCCATCTTCTGGAAGAGCATCTTTGCCTGGTTTCCCTGGCCAAAGGACTTCACGATGTAGCAGCGCTTCCTCGGGGAGCGATCCGCACTTAAGCCCTGAAGAAGTAGAAGGGTTTGTAGGGTTTTGGGGTTTAGGGTTTAGGGTTTAGGGTGTAGGGTTTAGGGTTTAGGGTTTAGGGTTCAGGGTTTAGGGTTTAGGGTTTTGGCTATGTTCAAACCCCTTCCCTTAAGACACACCCCCCTCTAGGCATTGCAAGCGGCTGCCACCGCGGGTGCACGTCGATGACCCACTGCAAGTGCCCATCCGAGAACTCCAATGGCTGGAAGCGGAAGACACTTGGGTCGGTGCAGAGATAGTACTTCCACCACATGCAAACCTCAGTTAAGGGCTAAGGATTTAGGGTTTAGGGTTTTAGGGTTTAGGGTTTAGGGTTTAGGGTTTGGGGTTTAGGGTTTAGGGTTTAGGGTTTTAGGGCTGACAGGGTTTCGGATTCAAGGTTCCGGGGCCTAGGGTCCTCAGCTATAGGGTTTTAGGGGGCTTAGGGTCTCGGATCCAAGGTTCAGGGGTTTTAGGGTTTAGGGTTTAGGGTTTAGGGTTTAGGGTTTAGGGTTTAGGGTTTAGGGTTTTGGGCACCTGCCAATGCTACCTGTACGCCCACAGTCGAAGTTCAGCGCTCGATGGCGGTACCCCTTGTACACCTCCAAGGACTATTAGGGTTTAGGGTTTAGGGTTTAGGGGTTTAGGGTTTAGGGTTTAGGGTTCTCCGAAAAGGGCACCCCCTAACTTCGGAAACCCCCCCTAAGTTGTGCCCCAAAGTTTCCTTGACCGGGCTTAGGACTCAGGGCTTGACTGGCTGCATGTTTCCCACGAGCCCGAAACGACCGGTGGCTCCTGACTTTGCTTGAACATTCCAAGCTGGGCCCAGGAGGAACCTAGGAAAAACAAAAATTGAAAAAGGTGCCTTTTTTTTGGGTTTAAAGGGGCTTAGAAGGGAACCCCAACCCTACAAAAAGGAAATAAGGGCCGACTCTGGGCCCTAGCAAGTGTCACCTCACACCACATGATCCTTGCTCTCCGAGCCACATCGCGGTACGCGGCGAACTCGGGAAAGTAGCTGTCTAGATAGCTGTCGATGAGGGTGATGCGCCTCCAGAACTCCACGCCGACATATATGACACGTAGTGGCCATGAGCTTTAGCTACACCCAGTGTAAAACCCCAGCAGACTTGACACAGACGACTAGTACCCTCCCCCTAATATTCAAGCCCGCCCTACCCCCTAATATTTAAAAAACCCAAGAAACTGTAATATACCTATAATGGGGGGGTATTTCATATTGGGGGGTAGGGGGGTTTAATATTAGGGGGAGGGGATTAGTAGCTTTGGTGGTTTGGGAGCTGGGGAGCTCTCCTGACATGTCTGCGAATGCACCCCTAACTCGAAATCTCAAACTCAAACTCCTAACCTCGAAGGCCGAAGGCCACTTCAACCTCAACACAATCCATCCGGCATTCTCTCGAAGTTTATACCCGTTTTTTCCCCTGATTACTCCTGAGCGCCCCCCCACCATTTGACACCCTGAACCCTAAACCCTAAACCCCCTAAACCCTAAACCCTAAACCCCCCTAAACCCTAAGCCCTAAACCCCCTGGGCCCCTGACCTCCGATAGAGGCTCTTCGCCATCTTCGCCGCCAGGGCCTCGGCGCCCTGGTCGGGAAACTCCATGACCCAGCCTCCGGTGGAGTTTAAGGGTTTAAGGGTGTATAAGGGTTTAGAGGGTTTAGAGGGTTTAGGGTTAAGGGTTTAAGGGTTTAAGGGTTTAGGGTTTAAGGGTTTAAGGGTGTAAGGTGTAAGGGTTTAAGGGTGTATGGGGCTCTAGGGGGCTTTAGAGGGTGTAGGGCTTAAGGGCCATCACCAGCCTCCGGTGGGCTTCGGGGCTTCGGGCTCATGGCCTATGGGGTTTTAAAGGAACCCCAAAAAAAAGGGAGTAAGGGCCTACTCTGGGTCCTAGTTGGGAATTCGGTGCTTCGGGCTTCTAGGCCCATTGACTTAGTTGTCCAATCATAATATCCCAAAAAGGTGAAAGGTTCTCTACTCTCCTAGTAAGGTGAAAAGTAAAGCTCCTGTGGGCTAGACAGGCTTGCGGGATCAGAGCCCATAGAAAGCTAGTTCCAGATAACCTCAGCCTCAGGCATGCTTCTTCGGTGGCTAATGTACCCAGAGAGTCCAATAAATTAGGGGGTATACCTTAGATTATAAAGGGATCCTTAATATAAGTCTAAGGTATATTCCTTGTTTAAGGGCTATCGGGCTCTTTGGGTGCTGGTTAATGACAACCACCTGTATGTAAAGGGTGATCTTCTCAACGTTTGCTTGCTCTCTTCTTGTCTTCTCTTCGGAGGTCATGATCGCGGTCAACATCCTTTAATCCTACATGTCAGTTGGCTGTTCACTGGATTTCGTGTGTTCGCTCACTTCCGCCAAACCCGAGACCCTCAACGCTTTAGGGGAATGGCGGGATTCAGGGGTCTGGCGCTTTTAGTGGCTAGGGCTTGGTAAAGGGCTTGTTTATTTCGTTTAGGGTCGTACTCTAGGGCTACGCAAACCCAAAGTGACCTAAGTTTTGGGATTGTAGTTCAAGTGATTGGGCTTGTGGCGCTTTGCGGAGGAGTGCGCTACCCTGCTAGTCTTCAATGCTTCATTCAAGGTCGCCCATGCGATGTTGGCAGATGCTTCAGGGTTGCCCTAAACCCTAAACCCTAAACCCTAAACCCCAAACCCTAAACCCTAAACACCAACCCCTAAACCCTAAAAACCCTGGGGCTGCGGCCATCCTTCTCCCACCGGAAGATGTGCTTCATCTTTGCTCCCTGTTCTTGAGCTTCCTCCAAGGGGAGTCAACTCCATGAATCATGGTCCTTTTGGGGGTCCTTGTTACCAGGCGGCCCCTGTGTTTAGGGTATCCAAAAACGGACGCCGTAATTTGTCCAGGAATGCGCGAAGCCCGCGTTGAACCCCAAACTCCCAAACCCTCGTGGTCCTGGTCCTGCTAAACTTCCTGAAAAGAGGCCGTAAACCCTAAACCCTGAACCCCAATCCCCACACGTCAAACCCTAAACCCTCCTAAACCCTAAACAAAAACAATGACATGGTCCTGCTCAACCTCCTGGAAGTAGGCAAGGGTTCGCGCGCGTGTGACATTCAAGTCAGGAGAGAACAGCCTGGGATGTGCTTTCGGGCTTGTGCTTTCGGGTTTGGGGTTTGGGGTTTGGGGTTTGGGGTTTGGGGTTTAGGGTTACCCTCTCTACGTGGAGGTTCATGGGTATGTAGATTTGGGGGATAAGTCGTGCAACTCGGGTTGTGCCATGCTTACAACCCTACTGAGGGCACTTAAACCCGACTTCCCGGCCTACCGCTTCCCTCCCTCCTCTTTGTCCTTCACCCACTGGCTGGGGGGGGGGCTAGAGTCCTGCCAGTAAAGTATTTCTTGGGGACTTGCAGGGTTCGTTCAGGTGGAGTTTAGGGCTCAGGGGGAGGGATGGACAACACGTGGGCCGTTTCTGCCGAATCCAGCAAGTTTCAGCCTCTGCTGAGTCACTACAGGTTCATCGGCTGATCGCAGCGCTGCCGTCGCCGCCATAGGCAGCATCGCCCCAGGTCACCACCATCGTCAAAAATGGCAGCAAAAGCTCCGCAGGTAGCTTGGATCCGCTGCACCTCCATCAGCTGACTTTGCACAGCACTTCCGTCGCCACCACGTTCGGCATCGCCCCGAAGGGCAGCGAAAGAGAAGATGGTAGCTTGAATACGCCGCACATCCTTCAGTTGACCTTGCACGGCACTGCTGTCGCCGCCAAAGCCTGCAGGTCCCCAGGTCACAACCGACCCATCCCCCAGGATGGCAGCAAAAGCGCGGTAGCTTGGATCTGCTGCACATCCTTGGGCTGCTGCTGCACACCGCTGCTGTCGCCTCCATTTTCAGCCTCGCCCCAGGTCACAACTGACCCATCTGTCAAGATGGCGGCAAAACCCCAGGAAACCACCACAGAACCATCTCTCAGAATGGCCAGTCAGGCAGAACGTACTCAAAATGCAATCCTCGGCCAGCTACGCAACTGCCACGACGATAAGCGCAAGTGCGAGGGCTGCACATTGCCTGTTTCAATCTAGTCGTAGCGTCGTGGTCATCCGTAACATTCTCCATCATCATGCGAAACTGAATCGCTAAAAAGCTTGTGCGCAAGGAGCACTTTCAGATGTGTAAGCAAAAGATACAACGTGTTAGTCAAGTCGCGGTCTTCAACAGACGAGCCAACTCAGGAAAGGCCGCGTCCCAAAACTGACATGAAGTATCGACAAACACACTCTCTGTTGCATCAGCAATCAGCTGCACTTCATCTTTCTCCAAGCGGCTTTCGGAGCAGACCTTCTGTGAAGCACGTTGCCAGGGAAAGTCAATCGACTTTCCGAGCTCCTTATCTCCAGAATCTTTCCCCAGTAGTCATACACATCGTTTGCTGCACCTGGGAACCCTGACTGCCCGGGCGTCTGCATCGTCATCTTGTCCCAATAACTGAAGCAGGCATGGGTTCTCATCAGGTAGTGAAGTATCGTACAGAAAAAGCACAGCCTGTGGCTTGGATCTGCCTGACACCCTTCAGCTGACCTTGCACACCACTGCTGTCGGCACCATGTTCAGGATCGCCCCAGGCACCACAGACCCATCGCTCAGACTGGCCGCCAAAGCCGTTCGAGATGCTTGGATCTGCTGCACGTCCTTCAACTGGTCTGGCGAAGCACCACCGTGGCCAAAGTCCGGCCCACCCCAGGTCACCACTGATCCATCACCCAGAATGGCAGCAGAAGTCCAGCGAGATGCCTGGATCTGCTGCACGTTCTTCAGTTGACCTTGCACGGCACTGCTGTCGCCACCTTGGCCCATCTGGCCCCAGGTCACAACAGATCCATCGCCCAGAAGGGCAGCAGAGGCCCGCCTGGTAAGGTCAGCGTGTCACCAGACTGCAAACCCCGATTCTTCAAGCGCGGCTGCTCCGTCCAGAACGCCTCCGGAGGAGTCCAAGAGTCTGCCCCTCCCGACCGCCAGAGTCTTCTGCGCTCTGCTCCTCAAGGTTTCTATCGTCTCATCCGGTCCTGCTTCCAGGGAAACTGTCCTGCAACTCAGCAGGCCCCACTTCAATCGAAAGGGACATGAGTGAATGCAGCGTAACTGGGCTTTGGAAGCGTTTCCGTCACACTCGCGCAAGATTCCTAAGCCCTAAACGCCCTAAGCCAAATCGCAAGTGTCAGCTATCCGAACTACTGTGCTGGCTGCAGGCCGAGAAGAAGCAAGGCGTCGCGGGTTTTTGGGGGTTTGGGGGTTGAAGGTTTGGGGTCTCTAGGGTTTGGGGTTCAGGGGTTTAGTATGCCCTAAATCCTATGTCGACATAGGGCATCGGGGTTTCAGGATCTAGGGTTGGGGGTTTTGCGGATCAGTACTGGGTGTAGAAGTAGGGCACCCTTGGGTTATAGATGGTTCAAGTCCCTTCTTAGGGCACTTAACTCTACGTATTCGCCACCTATGAACTTTCTCAAGTCGGGTATCGGATTGAACTCTGCTGCTCAGAGGCAAGAAGGTCTCCGACTGCTTGGCGAAGACTTCCCAGGAGACCAAGAAGCGCGTTTCTTCTTCCTTCTCCTGAGCTCGCCCGCCCACTCCTTACCGAAAGTACCCATGTGAACTACAAGGTCTTGCGACCCGATGCGATGGTGTTGGCCTAGATTTGGCTGGCCCCCCCACCGCCCCGAAACCCCAAACCCTAAACCCTAAACCCCAAACCCTAAACCCTGAACCCTAGGTGAGAACCTTACGTAACATGGTACAACAATCCAGTGCCGCCCGGCGGCATCATCCAAGCGTCCCATCATGGCTTTGCTTGACGTGGAGCTGCCCGATTGACGCAGGAGCCGGTCCAATAGAGTGACCTATGGGGGTTGTAGGGGTTTAGGGTTTAGGGTTGTAGGGTTGTAGGGTTGTAGGGTTGTAGGGTTGTAGGGTTTAGGGTTTAGGGTTTAGGGTTTAGGGTTTAGGGTTTAGGGTTTAGGCTTTAGGGTTTAGGGTTTAGGGGTTCGGGTACCCTTAAACCTAACATGGGAATTCTGGACCGTGGTGGGCCCAGGCACCAAGTCCTCCAGATAGTTACGAGCTTCCCCGGCTTAGCATTAAAACAATTCCCTAACTTCAAGCCTCGCCTCTAACATTCCCCTCCTGCACTCTGAACCCTAAACACCTTAAATTCCTTCATAGCCTACAAACCCTAGAAGCCTCAAGTCTCGGCCACTAAGCCCTCAACCCTAAACCCTAAACCCTAAAACCATAAACCCCAAATCCTAAACCCTAAACCCTAAACCCCAAACCCCAAACCCTAAACCCTAAACCCCAGCCCTAAGCCCCACAAGCCCAGGCGCCATCGCCCCCAAGATGATGGCGCGCGTCCCATCGAAGCCGCGATGTCCAAAGGTGGCCCCGCAACTCATCGAGAAGTGCTGCGCGATGCCTTGGAAGGACTCCAAACCCTAAACCCCTAGACCCTAAACCCTAAACCCTAAACCCTAAACCCTAACCCGTAACCCTAAACCCTAACCCCCAAACCCCAAACCTTAAAGCCTAAACCAAGAAGCACGTGAGGGCTTAGGCTTGCAGGGCTCTACGAGACCCTCCTTGGGTTCCCACAAACGTTCAGGGTTAAGGAGTGGAGATGTCAGGCATGATGTCAGGTTTCAGTCCTCATTGCGAGCTCGGGAGGCACAAGACAAGCTGCTGAACTACAACCTCCCGCTCCAAACTGCAAACCCTCTACCCCAAGACCCTAAACCCTAAATCCTGAACCCTATATCCTAAACTCTAAACCCTAAACCCCAAACCCTAAACCTGCCTCTATATACTCCCCAACTGATCTTGTACCGCTTGGTCAACCTGCAGGTCTAGACACGCTTGACCACCAGAGCTGTATCAACCTGCAGGGCAGGGCCAGGTCTCACGGGTAGGGTTTAGGGTTTAGGGTTTAGGGTTTAGGGTTTAGGGTTTAGGGTTTAGGGTTTAGGGTTTAGGGTTTAGGGTTTAGGGTTTAGGGTTTAGGGTTTAGGGTTTAGGGTTTAGGGTTTAGGGTTTAGGGTTTAGGGTTTAGGGTTTAGGGTTTAGGGTTTCGGGCTTGGGTCCGCCGACCTTGCCGGCCGCGAGGTGGAGGGGGGGGGGGGTACCCGGTCCACTCTGCGGAGTTCCGTGACTGTGACGGTGCCCTTCAACTGCTGAGTGTGAAGGGTTTGGGGGTTTGGTGGCACCAATGGGCTTAGGGTTTAGGGTTTAGGGTTTAGGTTTTAGGGTTTAGGAGCTTTCTCGGCAACATGGGCCACAGCAGATCCCGGCGGTGGCCTGCTGCTCGGGGGTGGCGGCGGTGCCCCAAACCTCACAGGTTTAGGGAGGTCATGCAAGGCGCATGGATCGGGCCCTGCGCTGATGGCCGACGTCTTGGTGCTCATGGTTGCCCTCCCTCCCCACATGTGCACCTCTTTGAAGGAACTCTTTGCCAAAGGGCATCATCTTTCGCACCGACCCGCGCAAGAGAGATCGGCCCCAAGGGGACCGGCAACAGGCCTTGGGCAGGGTCGATGACCACTTGGAGATGAGACAAGCAACTAAACTCTATGGGTGGTTGTCAAATGATGGTCACCCATATGACCCACTGGGCACTAGCTGCACAACAGCTTTTGGCCAGGCTGCGGGTGAAGGTGTGCTGAACCAAGGCGATCTTCAGGAAGTGTGCAAACCGAAGGTTTCCACCTTGGCGAAGGCGTCGCTTAACGGTCGTGGCCCCGCGACGTCTTGTAGACGCCAACATCGCAAAGAGCGTCAGCAAAGGGCACGCAAAAATGAACGAACGATTCAGCATGCACTGCAGCGGTTTGCAGAAAACCCTGAAAACCATACTTGGCAGTTCATGGGTAGTTGGTAGTTTAAGCCTACTTAAGCGTGCTTCTGACCTTACTTGAAATTAATACCTACCCATCAAGACGTGTCGGTTTAGGGCTCTGGCAACCCTGAACCCTACTCCTGAAGACTGTACCCTAAACCCTAAACCCTAAAACCCTAAATCCTAAACCCTAAACCCTAAACCCTAACCCTAAACCCCAAACCCTAAACCCTAAGCCCCCTAAGACTAAACCCCAAACCCTAAACCCTAAGCCCTCTAAGATCCGTGCTCAAGTTGTCTAACTGTGCCAGGAGTTGGTCAGCAATCTTCAGCGCAGCCAAGGCCTCGGGCATACCTTTGGCCAGCTAGGGTTTAGGGTTTAGGGTTTAGGGTTTAGGGTTTAGGGTTTAGGGTTTAGGGTTTAGGGTTTAGGGTTTAGGGTTTAGGGTTTAGGGTTTAGGGTTTAGGGTTTAGGGTTTAGGGTTTAGGGTTTAGGGTTTAGGGTTTTTAGGGTTTTTAGGGTTTAGGGTTTTTAGGGTTTAGGGTTTAGGTTTAGGGTTTAGGGTTTAGGGTTTAGGGTTAGGGTTTAGGGTTTAGGGTTAGGGTTTAGGGTTTAGGGTTTAGGGTTTAGGGTTTGGTAGGGTTTAGGGTTTAGGGGGTTAGGGTTTAGGGTTTAGGGTTTAGGGTTAGGGTTAGGGGGGGGGGGGGGGGGGGGGCGGGGGGTCATTTTCTACGCTTGGGGGCAGGGTTTGGGATTCAGGGCTTTGCAATCAGGAGAGTCAGACATACCCTAAACAGGGGTTATGGTTCTAACCTCTTGAAACCCCAGTTTCCCTTCTTGCAAACGCAGTTCTAGCTGCCCAGGAATTAGGAATTTAGGAGACTGATTGTAAAAAGATATTTAACTGAACCAAGAGCCTCATTCCTTGTGAGTCAGACTAGTCCTTACTAAGTTTCTGACTCCTGTGTTGAGGGGCATGGCGGTTTATTAGGGTGTGGGGGCTAAACCACCGAAAACCAGAAACCCCAAAGCTTCAATCCCATAAGCCTTGCGGCTGGCCTGGTGTGATTTCGGCTTTAGGCTGTTGGGTAGTTAGCTTGACCAGAATGCGCCTGATGTCCAAGTGACCCCTTAAGCCTGAACCCTAAGCCCTAAACCCTAAACCCTAAACCTTGTGCCACAGCTGCTTGTCACCTTGCTGGGAAGAAGGTCGAAGTTGACTGGCGGCAGCTGGGTCATGTCAATCGCGCTGCCTCAACCGTCACTTTTTTGGGTTCGGGGTTTCGGGGGGTACACATCGTAGACTTTAGGATATCCGAAATACTCTCCTGTCGACCCTTAACTATCCGGGAGTCCCTAAACCCTAAACCCTAAACCCTAAACCCTAAACCCTAAACCCTAAACCCTAAACCCTAAACCCTAAACCCCCGAAACCCTAACTCCACAAGGGGTGTGCAGGGAGTTTTGGCCTCGCGCCTTCCTTGCCATCAAGCTCCTCACGGAGGAGACGCTCGAAGAGGGGGAAGATGCCGCTGGCGTCGTCCACGGGTGGCGCCTGAAGCTGCGGGGTTTAGGGTTTGGGGTTTGGGGTTTTTAGGGTTTAGGGTTAGGGTAGGGTAGGGTTAGGGTTTAGGGTTTAGGGTTAGGGTTTAGGGTTTAGGGTTTAGGGTTTAGGGTTTAGGGTTTAGGGTTTAGGGTTTAGGGTTTAGGGTTTAGGGTTTAGGGTTTAGGGTTTAGGGTTTAGGGTTTAGGGTTTAGGGTTTAGGGTTTCTGGTTTAGGGTTTAGGGTTTAGGGTTTATGGTTTAGGGTTTAGGGTTTAGGGTTTAGGGTTTAGGGTTTAGGGTTTAGGGTTTAGGGTTTAGGGTTTAGGGTTTAGGGTTTAGGGTTTAGGGTTAAACCCTAAAGCCTTGAAGCCCTAAACCCTAAACCCTTAAAGCCCCGGCAAATTTCTGAGCCCCCCCCCCGCCTTAAGCCCCGCCAACCACCACAGCACCCTAATCCCGTGTACATCCTGAACTCCCTGTACACCCTTCGAGCCCTTACAACCCTTTACGCCCTCTCAACCCATAGAGCCCTTTACCCCCTAAGCCCTTTAAGCCCTTAAAGCCCTTAATGCCCTTCAAGCCCCTAAAGCCCGTAAAACTCTTAAGCCCGTTAAAGTCCTGAAAGCCCTGTTAAGCCCGTTTGAAGCTCTTGAAGCCCTTGAAGCCCTTAAGCCCGTCAACCCTTACACCCTTAAACCCTGCACCCTTAAATCCTTAAACCCTACACTCTTAAAGCCCTACAAACCCTTAAACCCTTAAACCCTTAAACCCTTAAACCCTTAAACCCTTAAACCCTTAAACCCTTAAACCCTTAAACCCTTAAACCCTTAAACCCTACTGTACACCGGCAGCTGTTCACACCATCCCACTGTGCTAAAGAGTTGTGTAAGTGAGCTGCACTTCCAGTGCCACTGCAATACCCAGCTTGGAAAAAAAGTGTCACTAAATCCTCTACGAAACCCTCTACGAAGCCCCACGTCGTAAGAGGCAAGGGTTCCTCTTCTAAACCCCATACCAAACCCTCTACTCAACCCCCTACTAAACCCGCTACTTCATCTACTAAACGCTATACCAAACGCTACTAAACGAAGCCCGAAACCCTAAGCCCTAAACCCCTTACCCTAAAACTCTAAGCCCTAAGCCCTAAGCCCTAAGCCCTAAACCCCAAACCCTAAACCCTAAATCCTAAACCCTAAACCCTAAACCCTAAACCCTTAACCCTAAACCCTAAACCCTAAGCCACCACGCAGGCCATTTTCCCGCAGAGCCCCTGAGGCCCGAGCCGGAGTCGCGGCCTCCAAGCCGGAAGCAGTTCAGGGTTTAGGGTTTAGGGTTTGGGGTTTAGGGTTTAGGGTTTAGGGTTTAGGGTTTAGGGTTTAGGGTTTAGGGTTTAGGGTTTAGGGTTTAGGGTTTAGGGTTTAGGGTTTAGGAGGGGATTTAAGGGATTTAGGAGATTTAGGGGATTTAGGGCAAGTTTAGGGTTTAGGGATTCGGGTCGGTTTGACACTTAAGGTTGAGGAGTTTAGGGTTTAGGGATTAGGGTCGGTTTAAAGTTTAGGGTTTTGGAATTAAGAGTTCAGAGCTCAACGAATTCAGGGATTTCTAAGGTTTGGAGACGCAGGGGTTATCGTTTGGGGCTTGTACTCCTCTACTGCATGTCTAAACCCTAAACCCAAAACCCTAAACCTTAAACCCCACACCTCCTCAGGTCCGGCCCTAAACCTTGGACCCTGAACCCTAAACCGAACCCCGCCTGTAAACCTCTGAACCTAAACCCCAAACCTCAACCCAAATTCCCTCTCCCCCCCAAAAAAAAAACCAAAAAGGTAAGCCCCCCCAAACCCCAGCAGTTGCCTTCGTGGCGTGCGGAGTCCCCTTCCCTGTGGCCAGGTCCAGGAGCGGAGGCTTTGTGGAGCTGTCCTGTTTGGGGCTGGCCTCTAGGCTTGTAAGGCTCAAGGGTGTGGGGTTTTGGGGTTTAGGGTTTTTGAGGGCTTACCACAGGACCGCAGAGGACCGCAGGACCCGGAAGTTGGGCGCAGCCCAGGGATGTACGAAGCAGGGGTCGAAGGCCCTAAACTCCCGAATTCCCTACCAAGCACCTGTAAGTTGGGGTCTGGGGATGCAACCGTTCAGCAGCCCTGATGTCGTCCAAAGGCAGGTCGAGGTTGAGGGAACTAAAGCGCATGGGGTTTTCGACCTCGGAGAGAGGGCTCAGGGGCTCAGAAGGTTAAGGCTACGGACATTAGGTTTTAGGGCTTCGGGCTGAGGGTTTAACAGCCCCAGCTCCTCGCTACTCGTCTTCTGCATCAACTTGGTCTCGACCTTGCGGTGAAGATTTTTACATGGGGGGAGGTTTCAAGGCCGGGCTTTGCCTCAGAGGCAGCACCCCCTGAAGACGGCCCAAACGGCCCCCAAACCCCTGCAAACCTACAGGCGTAAGGAAAACCCTGAACCCTACCGGGTTCAACCCTAATCCCCTCTGGGTTTGTGACAAATCCCCCAAACCGTGCCAGGGCGTTGGGGTTTAGGGAACCCGCACTCGGGGCGTGGGGTTTAGGGTTTAGGGTTTAGGGTTTAGGGTTCAGGGTTTAGGGTTTAGGGTTTGGGGTTTGGGGTTTGGGGTTTGGGGTTTGGGGTTTGGGGTTTGGGGTTTAGGGTTTAGGGTTTTAGGCGTTTCGGTTTTTAGGGTTTCAAGGTTCAGGGTTTACCGGTTTGCCAGCCCCCCAACTACCCTTTATCCATGATCACGGGGTATAGAAGTCAATTTATTAACGGGTTATTTGGGGTGTGCGGGTAATGTAGGGGCCTGATACATAATCAATAGGCTTTGGGGGGTTCCTATATTATAGTAAAAAAGGGACCCTAAGGGGATACTTCTTCCGACACCTAACCCTAAACCCTAAACCCTCGCGGATGACTCAGCAGCTGGTTTGTGGCATGGGTTCAAGGTCTACAGCACAGGAGCCCTTGCCACCTGCAGGACTTATTTTTTCGATAGTAGTCAACATGTATAGCATACAACGAGAGAAGTCCACATGTATAGTGTACAGTACTACTGAAGATGTCATAGGACAAGAACTCAGATGTTGTTTGTTGTGTTGTTCCTGCTTGGTGGAAAAGAGAACCCTGCGTAACCCCGCTGTGGAGCTTCCTGCCCACGCGAGGGTTATGAGCCCAACGCTAAGTAAAAGGGCCCTGTAGAAAGTAGACCTTGCCATGGCAAACTTCCCGAACCCCTTCTGGTCAGATGCAGTACAGCAGGAATTTCGCCGTGCACAACAGGTCGTGCAAGAGGACCCTGGGGAGAGAGGTGCAGCCATAAGGGAAGGCGATGAATCTGAACGTGAACCGCCGTATGAGCTTGGACCTCACGCCCAGGAAACTCCTGAGGCCGGAGCAGGAGATGCTGTTCCGCAGGAGAGTGTCCCACAGCCTGCAGAAGAACTACGTAGTATCAACCCTGCGCAGCAGCAGGAACCGGAGGCACAAGTTGCCCGGGATGCATCACCAGGTCACTACAGCGTTACTGGATTGAGTGAGTTTTCGGCTATGGAACGTGGTACAATGAAAGGCCTCGAAGCATTGGGTCTGAGAGAAGTTGATGACAGAGAGTTAGTTCCTGATTATTCAGCGCCGCCTGCTGAGACCCAGTCCGGGAGCAGAGATCCTTTTGGCGATCTGGCGTCAATGCTGCGTGTGCTGATGCAAGGCCAGCAGTCTTTGGTGGAGCGAATGGATAAGCTGGAGAGCTCCAAAGCATCGTCGTCGTCTGCGTGTGCAAGCTCTAGTGTCCCTGAACCACGTCCGAAAGCTGTGTTTCCTCCTCAGTTCGTTGGCATACCAGCTGTGACAGGCAAGCCGGCTGACCTTGGGGAAGCTGGGACGGGGTCGGGCGGGAGAGGGGGTCAAATGGGACCACCAACTGAGGCCCAGGCCCAGGCTCCAAGTGCGGGTGTGGTGGATCGCGCTCTAGATGAGTGGTTCGGTGATAAGTTGTACCCCGCGCGTGGCAGCCACGCTGCAGGTCGTGAGTTGCTTGAGCGCTGTGCGGAAGATAAGGCTAAGCTGGACGATGAAGCTGATGCCGAAAACCGCCCCATTAAAATGGTTGAGCTTGTCTTTGTTGAACCCCTTGACTCCAAAGGTCCGAACGAAGTTGCGCATGCTACTGCCCGGATTTGTGCGCAGCTTGAGGTGCTGAAGTTGCCGATTGCGCGAATCCATACAGACGCAGGGTCCGAGTTCATCTCGACACCATTTAGGCGTTTCGTTGACGCGCGTGGCATATTGCACACTGCAGCTGCGCCCCAAGAGCACAACAGCAACGGCAGGGTTGAAAATGTAGTACGCCGACTAAAGCAGCAGGTTCGTACTATTCTGCTAGCTAACGCACATCCCCCCGATAAGTGGGCCTGCGCCGCAAGAGCGGTCGCCGCGAGGTGGCGGTCAGACACGCTTGCCCGCTTGGGATGGCCACAGCCCACGTTGGCACCTTACGGCACTAAAACACAGATACTTACTAGGACATGGCATCGCCGACGTCAGTCAGAGTGGAAGGCCCGTGCCGAAGACGGTATTGTGTTGTGCCCCGCCAGCCTTGTAAAACATGGCTATGTTGTGTTGGTCGGTGACATGTTGAAGCTTGCGACGAAGTTGTTTCACGGCGACAGCCCAAACTTACAGGTAGTTGCCACCAATCCTGATGGCAACGATCCACCGTTTGAAGAGGGAGAGCTGCCAGGCCCAGTGCGCCGGCATAGTGCCAAACGGCCCGTTGTGCTTGCAAAAGTTGGTTGCGAACGCCGGGGAACACCCCAGGCCGTTGACCAATGTGCTCGTGAGCTTGCTGCTACAGCGCCGTTTGATGTTGATGCGGCTTTGGCCTTTGTTGCTCAGCTGTCTCTTTCTGACCTTGACGCGTCGCGTGATAATGGCAAGCGCCTACACTCTGGCAAGCATCATGTGTTTGGTCAGTTTGTGCATGGTGGCGTGTCAGGTGTGACCAAGAACACGAAGCGTTACTCAGGTGTTGCAGCGTTGTTGACCAAGCTTGTGCGGCATGCTGTGCCACATGCTGAGTTTACTACCGTTGTTTTGAGTACTGACGCTGAGGCAGTGTTGCACCGTGATGTTCACAATCATCCGTTGTACCCAAACCACATAGTTACTGTGCAAGCGCCGTCTAGTGGCGGTGGCTTGTGGGTGCAAACTGTCAGTGGTGATGAGCAAAGTGGACCAGCGGTTTGCAAAACGCTTCCTACAGGACAAGTTGCGCAAGGACAAGTTTTTCCCTTAGGACAGCCGTTCCAGTTCAACTCGCACCGGTGGCATTGCACTGAACCGTGGCCATGTGGAGAGCATCGAGTTGTGCTCTCTGCTTACACGGTGAGCCGCCCGGATAAGCTCAAAGGAGCGGAGCGTGCGGAGTTGACAAGCCTGGGGTTCAACGTTCCGCCACAAGAGCAGTTTTCCAATGTTGCTGTTGCACAGCAAGGGGGAGCCACCCCTCTGAAAGAGCTTGAAAATCCCAAAAACCTTAAAAATAGCATAATCCAAAACCCAAAAAAGCTTGAGAGTGAAGGCTGAAGAGCAGGCCGCCGCGTGTACCTGTAGTTGCTGTGAGCGTGACTGTGTTGTTTGCAGCAAGTTGTTTGTGAAGCTTGACGCCGTGTGCTTTGCTGGGGTGCAGCCAGAGGCAACCGTTGAGCGTGAGGTGTCTGCCGAGCCAGACCTGTCCATGAGCGTACCTTGCTGTTGTGTGGTAGGGTGCGAGGAGTTCGAAGCGCAGTTGTTTTTCGACAGTTTTCGGCCAACTAGCCTTGAAGACACGCCAGACAGAGCGTGTGACGAGGAGGCCTATGAGCAAGAAGTTGAGCAGGCTCTGTTTTTAGAACCGCGCGAGCTTGAGGGTGACGCGTGGGCGCTTGAAGGGCTGCTTAACGAGCACAGTGTGGTGAGCAAGCTGATCGCCCATGAGCGACAAGAGTTCATCACAGCCTTTGAAGAGCATGGCCTAAAGGAGGCCTGTGAGGGCACCATCCTCTCTGAGCTGCTCGTGAAGCGTGAGGAGTTGGAGTGCGAGTTGCGTGCCTTGAGCTTGCGTGACGAAAGTGCGGTTGCTGTCTGCGTGTGTGAAGCATCCTTTCCGGAAACTCTTGATGAGAACGCGGTTCAAGAGGACACGCCGGAGCGGGTGTTGCAGACCAAGATCGTACCGAACTGGCAAGTTCTTCAAAACTTCGAGGTGTGGCGACCAGCAGTCGTCGCAGAGTTCCTGTCCCTAACTGAGGACAAAGAGGCGCTTGAGCCTGTGACCCAGGAGAGGCTGGACGAGTTGAGCGCGAAGGGTGTGAAGGTCACTGTCATTCCCTCAAAGCTTATCTGCAGTATCAAGGCCCCCAAAGGTAGGCTCAAAGCCCGCATAGTAGCTTGTGGTAACTTTCTTGGTGCGTGCCTAGGAGAGTCAAAGGCCCAGCGGAAACATGACCTCTACTCTAGTGGAGTTGACCTGACTCACCTGCGCATGTTATTAGCGTATAGTTCACGTCGTGGAATGCCTGTCTGGTCAGTAGACATCAAGACTGCTTTCCTGAACTCAGAACTGTTACCTAGGAACCGTGAGGGCGCACAAGAAGCAGTAGCTCACGCTGGAACTGCTCACGCGGTCCGCCGGGACTCGCCGGAGAGCGAGAACCCAGCCGAGTACGTTGTCCTGAACCCTCCACGTATCCTAGTGTCCAAAGGAGTCGTGCCTGTAGGTACTTTCCTCATAGTGAAAAAGGCAGTTTACGGTCTTGACCAAAGTCCAAGAGACTGGGGTTTCACTAGAGACGCTGAACTTCGTACCCTGAAAATTCCCTGGAAAAGCAAGCTTTTGAAGTTAGTGCAGTCTCTTGCTGACGAGTGCGTTTGGTTTGTTGTTGACGTTGAGACAGTTCTCGTTCAGGACCCAGACTTTCCTGTGCCTGCGCAGTCCCAGGAAGTGCTCGGGTGGATCGCTGTCTACGTTGACGATATTCTTGGGTCAGGTATAGAGGATTTAGGCGAGGGGGTCATTAGGGCAGTTTGTGAAAAGTGGGCGTGTTCTGACCCAGAGAAGGTTGGAAGTGACCCGTCGAATCCAGTTCGCTTTTTAGGACTAGAGCTGTACTGGTCAAGGGAGGGCAGGTTGGTTGTGACTCAAACCGCTTACGCAAAGGACTTGCTGAGTAGGTACACCAACGAGTTTGTCGCTTCTGTGCAGCCTCTTCCGCAAGGACTGGAGGACCCTGTTGCCGTCCCTAACCCCAACGCCGAAAGCATTAGGAAGTGCCAACAAGTTGTAGGTGAACTGCTGTGGTTGTCGATTCGTACTAGGGTTGACCTTTGCTACCCCGTTTCCAAGCTTGCTCAGTGGAGCACAAAGGACCCTGAGTTCACGTTTAGGCAGGCCCTGCAGGTTCTAGGTTACTTGTCTGTGACGCCGTCGGTAGGTCTTGTTTTCGCAGGGCCAAAGGACAGGGATGAGCACAACCTTGTAGGAGCACAAGACTACATGCACGTGCTGCAGGCATACACAGATGCGTCGCACGCACCAGGAGGTGATAGGTCTCATGAGTGCACCGTGCTTCGCTGTGAAGGGTCTACTGTTGGTTGGGTCAGCACAAGGCAGCCATTTTGCACGCAGTCTTCATGTGAAGCAGAACTTCTCTCCACTACTACTGGCAGTAACTATGCAGTTGCACATGTAGGACTTGCTCGTGAACTGTGGCAGCATGAACCAAGGGTGTTTGTGGCAAACGACAACCTGAGTGCTATCACAGTGATCAACAGCCCCACCGTTTCTTGGAGAACCCGTCACCTGAAAATAAGGGCTAGAGTCCTGAAAGAGAGGTCCGACATGAAATTGCTCGTTTTCGTGCATGTAGGTGGAGACAAGAATGGTGCTGATATAGGGACTAAGGCACTTGGCCCGCAGAGGATCAAGACGTTGATGGCAGTGCTGGGAATGTCCGCGCAGGATCCGCCTGCCGAAACCACTAAGGCAAAATCCGTTCAGCACGTGAAGGATTGCCTAAGGGCAGTCATTTTGGCTTGTTGCCTGTGCAACGCCAGAGCCACTAAGGACCAGGACAGGACCCAGAGTAGTGAAGACTGGTCTCTTGTAGTGTTTGCTGTGCTAATCTCAATCACGTCCATTGCAGTTTGGGAAACATGTAAGGCTTGTTTGAGGGCAGTGTTTCGTCTTGCCGAGGAACTCCTCAGGCCGAGACTCCCAGCCCCAGAACCTGAAGAGCTTTTCATCCCTGAACAGCCCGAAGATGAGTATGAAGGCCCAGATCCTGATGAGGCCCCCGTTGCTCGTGTTAGGGATCCCGTTCCCGCAATGACCCCTGAAGAAGGCTTGAGGCGAAGGCCCCCGAGACCTGTAGCGCAGCAGGAGCCTGATGTAGAGCCTCAAGGCCGCCCTATCACATTTGCCTTTGCTGATGATGAGGTTCAGGTGTTTATGCCAGGCCCAGCAGACGCGCCAGCGAACCCGCCTGAGCCTATCCACAGAGACGTAGTCGCCCAGCCTAGAGGCCCATTGCAAGCAAGGCCCCTACGGCTCAATCATCCACCTGATCCGCCCTATATCCTCAGGGTCGGCTGGCCCGCCCCCACGCTGCAGCCAACTATGAGGGAAATGCGGCTGACGAGGACATCATGGGGTGGAGATCTATCCACACTTTTTCAGGCACCGCCGCCAGAGTTTCGACAGGACTTCTTTCAGTACGATGCAGAGAGACCAACTGTCTTAGTACGCTGGCACGCTGTCGTGAGAGTTCGTCGCTTCGACCCAGCGCAGACCAGGTTGCCCGTTCCTCTGGGAGCACTCACAGGCCGCAGGAGGACGCTAGCCATATATGCAGCTGGTGAGCGACAGTATTATGATGATAACTGGCGAAACCCAGAAGCTGCTCGCCGGTACCATGAACACGAGTGGCGTGGTCGCACTGAACTTGAGGTCGATGTGCGACGCCTTTACCCAACAGGGTAGATGAGTTCTTGCTTCATCCATGCCGGGGAAACACTCCAGGCCGGAGTGGAGCATTCGAAGCCCATTTCTTCAACGAAGCATTTTGCTTCTAAGAGGCTACGCTTGAGCCTGCCGGGAAAGCATCCCAGGCCGCAGGATCCAGTGAGAGCCCTCTTTGTCGTTATGGTGATGAAGCTCGTTTGCCTCCCATAGTACAGTTGGTGACGTGTCACCAAGGGGGAGCGCGGATGACTCAGCAGCTGGTTTGTGGCATGGGTTCAAGGTCTACAGCACAGGAGCCCTTGCCACCTGCAGGACTTATTTTTTCGATAGTAGTCAACATGTATAGCATACAACGAGAGAAGTCCACATGTATAGTGTACAGTACTACTGAAGATGTCATAGGACAAGAACTCAGATGTTGTTTGTTGTGTTGTTCCTGCTTGGTGGAAAAGAGAACCCTGCGTAACCCCGCTGTGGAGCTTCCTGCCCACACGAGACCCTAAACCCTAAGCCGATAGAATCCAAGCATTAGGGTTCAGGGTTTCGGGTTTTCAGGGTTTAGGCGCCCGTGGCCTCGTCCACCTGCTTCCTCACGGCGCTGAGCGCATCCAGGCCAAGCAGTGGTCGACCACCCTGGTTTAGGGTTTAGGGTTTAGGGTTTAGGGTTTTTTTTGGTTCAGGGTTAAGGGTATAAGGTTTAGGGTTTCTGCTTTAGGGTTAGGGGGGGCTTTTCGGGCTCAGAGGGTTCTTAGAGACTAGGGGTTTAGGGTTTAGGGTTTAGGGTTTCATGTCGCGGCCTGTAGTAGAAATCAGGGGCTTTGAGGTTTAGTGTTTAGGTGGTTCTTCGGTGGCGAAATGCCTCAGCCCTCTTCCCCCAAGGCCACGAACAACCTGGGCCCACGAAACACAGCAACGCAAGCAGGAATGCAGAAAGACATCCTCAAATCAAACCCGGTACAAACCCTAAACCCTAAACCCTAAACCCTAGACCCTAAACCCTAAACCCTAAACCCGGCACCTCCTGTTGAGTGGAGAGCTTTGCTGCGGTGAAGGCCAGCTGGCGGCAGAGCATCCGCACCAAGGTGCGATCCGCCGTGCTCAGTTCCAGAACAGCCTTCCAAAGGGGTCAGCTCTGTTCTAAGCCCGGTCTAGGGTTTGGGGTTTAGGGTTTATGGTTTAAACCCAACCCTACACCCTAAACTCTAAGCCGACATACCCATAAGGGTGCCCTGATCATTTGGAACCAAGCCCTGTTGCTTCTGATGCGCACATCGGTCTTCCCCGCGCGCAGCAAGAGACACGGCGGGTCCCGGATTCGAGTCTTGGAGGGTTTAGGGTCTAGGGTCTAGGGTTTCGGGTTTAGGGTTTGGGGTTTAGGAGGTCTGCGATTCAAAGCCAAAGGATGAAGGGCCGACCCCAAGCCCGAGCCCGAACATCCTGAACTCCAAAACCTCAACAAAGCAATGACTTGGATGTTCCCCCTTATACTAACAGCTCCTTCATAGGGATTGCAATAGGTACCATAATCCCTATTCAGGACTGTTCGTATAAGGGGAACCATCCTAACCCTAAACCCTAAACCCTAAACCCTAACCCTAAACCCTACACCCTAAACCCTAAAGGACTGTTCGTATAAGGGGAAACCTCAACAAAGTCATGTTACCCGATGGCTGACTGCTAGAAGTCGCCTTCACGTCGCCGGCCGCCAGGTCGAGCAGCGAGCTCCTGGAAGGGTTTTTTGGGGTTTAGGGTTTAGGGTTTAGGGTTTAGGGTTTAGGGTTTAGGGTTTAGGGTTTAGGGTTCGTGGGATGGGACCGCTGAGCTGTCTCGCACAAGTCGAGGCGGACTGGAGGCTACCAATTGCTTATGAAGCCCCAAGAATATACGGCATTCTTCCCGAAAAGGGCAATGTAGGGATCAATGTCGTTTGTTTCTTGGGTTTTTTTTCAGCAAATAGTAGCCCTAAACCCTAAATCCGAAACCCTAAACCCTAAACTAGGGTGCCATGTGTCCTGAGACAGAACTTCACCAGCTTCGTTCGCGGCTTCGTGAGGCCGCACCTGGCTGCACATTGAGAGGCTTTTGGAAAAAATCAGGGGTTTAGGGGTTTAGGGGTTTAGGGGCTTAGGGGTTTAGGGGTTTAGGGGTTTAAATTTAGGGGTTTAAATTTAGGGGTTTAGGGTTTAGGGTTTAGGCACCTGCGCAGAAGATAATGCATGGCGTCCAGCAGGCATCTGTGAAAGTTGTTCCGCGAGCGCCCGTAGACCTGGCCCAAGCGACTGGGAAACTCTACACACTCGTAGCTGATAACCCCTCTTGAATGCCAAGATGAGCCCCGAGACCCGTAAACTCCCCCCAAGCCCCAAAACCCTCCCCTCCAAGCCCTAAGCCCTAAGCCCTAAGCCTTCAACCGCAAACCCTAGACTCTAAACCCCAAACCCCAAACCCCAAACCCCAAACCCCAAACCCTAAACCCTGAACCCCAAACCCTAATCCCCTCCAAGAGCTGGGAAGCCCGGCCGGCGATCGCCAGTCGTAGGCCGGATCCTCCCCTTCGGGCTTCTTCTCGGAGGCCTCAAAGGCACGAGACACGCCCCCCAGGGCCAAGAAGGAGCTTCTTCCAAGGTTTCGGGTTTAGGGTTTAGGGTTTGGGGTTTGGGGTTTGGGGTTTAGGGTTTAGGGTTTAGGGTTTAGGGTTTAGGGTTTAGGGTTTAGTAGATCTAGGGTTTAGGGGGGCTTGAGGATGTCCGGCTCGCCTCCCTCACTTGCTCCAGGGGGGCGGAGGCCATGAAGGGCAAGAAGAAGTCGTAGGTCAACTGAGGGCTGGTCTTGTTCCTCAGTGGCACTTGGTCTAAGGGCTTAGGGTTTAGGGTTTAGGGTTTAGGGCTTCACTTGCTTTAAGGGCTTAGGGCTTCTAGGGGTTCTACCTTGGACCCTTAAGGTTGTACCCTTTAGGTTTTGGGGGCCTCCCCTAAAGAAGTATAAGGGTAACATTAGGAGTAGATTAAGGAGTAGATTAAGGCGAACATTTAGGGGCACAACCTTATGGATACGAGTCTTCATCCCTTGAGGGTTGAGGACCCCTAGACCCTAAACCCTAAACCCTGAACCCTACACACCCGCCAGCCAAAACCCCAGAGTGCAAACGACCACCCAAGCAAATCCGAAAAATGACAGGAGAGAGTCTTCACTGTCCGATGATATGGGCCCTTACATGGAAACCCCTTCTGTACCCTTATTTTCCCTATACAACCCAAGTCAGAACCCTTTAAAGAGGCAAAGGGACCATATTAGGGACCCATGAAACTACCCTGAGTACCAAGCACCAAAAGTAGAGTTTTTTCGGTCACTGAGGGCTGCTAGGGATGTCAGGGTTGCTGGAGTTCTTGGGGTCATTGTTGCTAGGGTTATTAGGGCTGCCCTCCGCCCAAACCCCGGGCCCTCGACTATGAACTATCAGCAAATGAAGGCCCCAAAGTCTACACCCTCGAAAGCAATCTAGAAACTCTGGCGCCCTTTTCTGTAAAGCAACTAGCTCACCAAGCTCAAAGCAGCATCAATAGCACCGAGGACACTGCGAGCCTTTCTTACACTACCCACGAATCCTCCACAGATAAAGCCAAAGCCTCCAAGTACCGTATTTTGGGGGAGAGGGGGCGGGGGTTCGCAGAATCAAATTGGGCGAACCTACTTCGGCGGTTCCGAAAATAACGCGCGTTCTACTGGTTTTGGGAGAGTGCAATGGGTACCCCCGCGCCTAAAGCCCTTAAAGCTTGACCCTTAAAGCCCTCAACCCTAAACCCTTAAAGCCCTCCCCATTACCGTATACGGGCTGACCCGGACCAAGGGGCTCATTCACATCGGGCAGGTTTGTTGCCTTGGCAAGTCGATCACAATGGCCGGGTCCAATTCGGAGCTTAGGCCGACTTAGAACCCAAAGCGCCCAATACCCCTCAATTAAGGAATATGCCCTAAATCAATCATACTAAGGATCCCTATGATGATCCCTGGAAAGCCCATTATCATCCCCCAAACCCACCTTACTAACCCTACTTTACTAAGTCAAAAGAGCTTCCAAGTCGAGACGAACCAATTTACGCAAGGGAGGGGGGGGGGGGTCTACACCCTAAACCCTAAACCCTAAACCCTAAACCCTAAACCCTAAACCCTAAACCCTAAACCCTAAACCCTAAACCCTAAACCCTAAACCCTAAACCTACTTGAAGGTTCTTGAAGGTTCATGGGTAAATAGAAACAGAGTAGGGTTGCAGGTACCCGAATCAGGGTCGTAACCAACTACATCCCAAGCTACCCTACTTCGAACCCACTTAGAACAACCCTTTGGGGGCCTTCGGGTTTTTGAGGGTTTAGGGTTTTCCTTTGTTTAGGGTTTAGGGTTTGGGGCTTAGGGTTTAGGGTTTAGGGTTTCGGGCTGTTAGGGTTTAGTGGTGGGTCAGAGGTCCAAGGCTGTCCAGGGTCACGCCGCCGTCTGAGTTTGGGGATGACGGTTTAAGGGGTTTAAGGCTTACTTGGTAGCCCAGGAGGCATATTATTACAACGAGGGTACCCTTTTTGGGCTTGGTTCCTTTACTATAAGGGAACCTTGAACCCAAAAAAGGGAGAAGGGTCCCTCTAGGGTTTAGGGTTTAGGGTTTAGGTGTTTAGGGTTTAGGGTTTTGGGTTTAGGGTTTAGGGTTTAGGGTTTGGGGTTTGGGGTTTAGGGTTTAGGGTTTAGGGTTTAGGGTTTAGGGTTTAGGGTTTAGGGTTTAGGGTTTAGGGTTTAGGGTTTAGGGTTTAGGGTTTAGGGTACCAAGTTTCGGCTTGAGGTTTTCGGGCTTTGTGTTGCAGCGTGCACTGTGGTGAGTTTGCCGCCCAAGGCCATGGTATGCACCTGCTTCTGTCGCAATCGGCCCTCAAGTATGCACTTCCCTGTAGGGGCTGCTCGAAAGCAGCAGATACCTGTGATCATCGGATTCCAAGAAAAGGCCCTAAACCCTAAACCCTAAACCCCAAACCCTAAGCCCTAAACCCTAAACCCTTAACCCGCTTTGAGATCCAGGTCTCCACCAGCAGGGCCCACCAGGCTTCATCGAGCGCCTTGCTCCTGACCCGCGCTCACGCTTCCGAGCTACCGTTTAGGGTTTAGGGTTCAGGGTTTAGGGTTTAGGGTTTAGGGTTTAGGGTTTAGGGTTTAGGGTTTGCTGAATTTCGAGTGCATCATGTTGTTTTCATTTGGGCAGGGGCGGGGGAGGGTCCTTCTTCCATCTTACAGGAGCTACGTATCACAGGGTGCATCACACGGTGCATCTATATACACTGGCCGCAGTGTTAAAGGCTCGCCTGGGAAGGTTCTCCAGGACGATCGGCCGGAACTTGATCTTCGGAGGTGCGGCCGCAGTCCTCAGACGTGCCACAAGCAAGTGGATGACCCTAAACCCTAAACCCTAAACCCTAAACCCTAAACCCAAAACCCTACACCCTAAACCAAGCATGTGTATAGGCAAGACCTTGGGATGGCTTGTGTTCTCCCGTAGACGATGCTTCCCCCAGAACCCTCACCAAAATCTTATTGTTAAGATTCTTCTTGGGTTTAAGGCGAAAAAAACATGAAAGCCTCAGGGGCCTATAGGTAAAGGGCTTGAGAGAGAATCTCTTTTTGTTCCGGATGATTTGTTCTAGGGTTTAGGGTTTACGGTTTGGGGGTTTGGGGTTTGGGGTTTAGGGTTTGGGGTCTTGGGGATGGCTGCGAACTCTTCGAACAGACACCTGCAACAGGCCAGCTACCGGGCGTCGCAGCACTCCTCCGGAGGCGCCGCGCCGAGAGCTAGGAGCCCGAAAAACCAGACATGGGGATCGGGTTATAGGGTTAACCAGATATGGGGATTGGGGTTTAGGGCTTTAGGTTTCAGGGTTTAGGGTTGGGGGCGCTGCCTTCTCATGCCTTCGCCAAAGTCGAATCAAATCGCTGGCTGGGGTCTTCGGATGGTATTCTCGGCTTGGCCCAAAGCCGAAGACAGCAATGCGATAGTTGTCCTCGCCCACCCGTTCCTTGGCATCATGGGCAATTTTTCGATTTGCACCCCCAACTTAAAGTACATGTGGTAAGTTGTCGCGTTTGTGTTCCTTTTTGGGGCCCCTCACATTTTTAGGGTACCCTAATTTTGAGAACTGACCATGTGGTAACATTCTCCCCGTTGCGTTGCCGCGCCCTCCTTGAGCCACAGGGAGCGTCGTCCGATTGCAGCCAGGCCGCCATCACCTCAGAGTGCCAGAGCTCGAGGCAGCATCAGCAAGACTGGACATGAAGATTTGGCTTAAACACTAAACCCTAAACCCTAAACCCTAAACCCTAAACTCTCAGACCTAAACCCAAACCCAAAACCAGGCTAGATTGTCATCGAAACCTTGCCACCGCATTGTGAACTTGAGAATGCTCCCGCTCCGAGGCAGTGGGTGCTGGTATCTAAACACTAAACCCTAAACCCGAAACCCTAAACCCTAAACTCTAAACCCGAAACCCTAAACCCTAAACCCTCTGCCACCCAGACACAAAGCAAATGTACTGCCTGACCATGAAGTCGCCTTGGCCCGAGCTCGAAATTAGGAAAGGGTGTTCGAGGGTCATTTTCGTATATTCATAAAGGATGACCCCAGTCATATTCGACTTTTCTTGTGGCTGAAGGCGCTCAAGAGCAGACCTGGAATTCCTCTCGCGAAGGGAGCTCTCACGGTGTTCCATTGAAACTCCGTAGTGACCCTCAAGGGCATGGATGGCGACATCAGCCCCACACTAAACCCTAAACCACAAACCCTAAACCCTAAACCACAAACCCTAAACCCTAAACCCTAAACCCTAAACCCCAAACCCTAAACCCTAAACCGGGTCTGTGCCCAGCGGCCGCATCCCCATCCGCCCGGCAACAGCGCGGAATCTCCGACGTTGAGGTTGGCGAGCATCCGGCGCAGCCTCCCGATTGGGTTAGGGTTTAGGGTTTAGGGTTTAGGGTTTAGGGTTTAGGGTTTAGGGTTTAGGGTTCAGGGTTCAGGGTTTAGGGTCTAGGGTCTAGGGTTTAGGGTTTAGGGTTTAGGGTTTAGGGTTTAGGGTTTAGGGTTTAGGGTTTAGGGTTTAGGGTTTAGGGTTTAGGGTTTAGGGCTTAGGGCTTAGGGCTTAGGGCTTAGGGCTTAGGGTCCAGGGTCCAGGGTTTAGGGTTTAGGGTTTAGGCGGGATGCCCCCCCCCCAAGTTCAGAGACTCCAAGGCACTATTCGAATTCTAATCCCTTCTTGGGGTTTAGGGTTTAGGGGGTAGGGTTTAGGGTTTAGGGTTTAGGGTTTAGGGTTTAGGGTTTAGGGTTTAGGGTTTAGGGTTTAGGGTTTAGGGTTTAGGGTTTAGGGTTTAGGGTTTGGGGTTTGGGGTTTGGGGTTTAGGTTTTAGGGTTTGGGGTTTAGGGCCCTTTACCCTCTTCTTGGGCTCCTCAGCCGTGAGCCTGAAACCCTGAAACCGGCCTCTTCAGGAATGGCAGAAGCCCTGGCATCTCAGCATAGTCATCATAGGGGTCGACCTGGCAAATGCGCAGGTAAGCATCAGCTGGAAAGATCACGTTTACAGCGTTGGGCTTAAGGGATCGGATCCGAAATCACCAAAAACCCGAAGTAGCAGCGAACCCCGTGGAATTTTGTCCCTGAATGCTACACCCCGAATCCGAATCCTTTGCTTGGAGATTCATAGGTACTGACAACCTCTATGTATCACCTGCTTAGACTAGGAAGACTTAGGGGGCTTATAGACCCTAAACCCTAAACCCTAAACCCTAAAACCTCGAAGTACCCTGAACCTCCAAGTAAAGTCCGCTCATTGAACCGCATGGCCTCGCCCCTTGTCCGGTCGTACTTCCGGAAGAGATCCAAGCCTTGCGAGAACTGTAGTAAACCCTAAACCCTAAACCCTAAACCCTAAACTCTAAACATCCCCAAACCCTAAATCCTAAGTCCTACACAGACCCTACCTATTGGAAGATGCTCCAACAGGGTTGTCTGAGGCCTCGCCGCGCCGAAGAGTCGTGTGCTGAGGTCGGGACTTGCATCAAAGAGAGACGTCACCTTCTTCACGGCATCCTGGTCGCAGTCAGCCCCTCGCCCCCCTAAGCTCACGTGGGGCCATGGACAGTTCAGATTCTGAGCCCTGAAGGGATTAGCGTTTAGGGTTGTGGGTTTGGGTTTAGGGTTTAGGGTTTAGGGTTTAGGGTTTAGGGTTTAGGGTTTAGGGTTTAGGGTTTAGGGTTTAGGGTTTAGGGTTTAGGGTATTAGGGTATTAGGGTATTAGGGTTTAGGGTATTAGGGTTTAGGTTTAGGGTTTCAGGGTTGAGGGTTTCAGGGTTGAAGGTTTCGGGGCCCATGCACAGCAACCAGAGCGGTCAAGTGCCTCACCCCAGCGCCCGCGCCTGCTCCGCGGCTCCAAGCAGCGACGACTTCTCTGCCGCCAGCTTCTCCAGGCCCAGCAAGATGATCTGAACACAGCCATTTTTTTTTTTTTTTTTTTGGGGGGGGGGGGGGGATTCCACTAACCTCTTGGGATGTTCTGAAAAGGGATGATAATATTATAATAGGGGGGGGGGGGGGGACTCTGAACGGCCCATTTTTGGTGGGGGGAACAGGGGCTTAGGGTTGCTTATAGGGGCCTTCAGATTTTTCCTGGGTTTTACGGTACTTGCACTCTTCCGGGGTCTAGGGTTTTGTTGCGGGTTTTGTCCAAGGCTTGAAGGTTGCGAGGTTCCAAGGCAGTGGCATGATAGACAGCTTGAACTCAGGGCCCTGCCTGCAGAGATCTGTAGATCTTCCCATTGTTGATGTCCATGAACACGTCGCAGAAATGAGCCAGAAACCTTGCACGCTGCCACGACATCACCCCTGCAGCCCTCAACCCTCAACCGTCGAAACCCCTTCGAAACAGCCAGCAAGCCATTGGACATTTGAGAGTCTTCTGCATACGGAACACGGCCCCCGCCCACAGCCACAGTATATAGGGTTTGAGGTACCTAGACTTCCAGAATCGACCATCTGCGCTAGGAGAGAGCCCTTTGGTTCAAGGTTTCAAGTATGAGCCGTTATTTTGTCATGCAACCCTTAAGGGCCCACATGTCGGATCCCTTTATTTCACGAGGGTAAGGGACCATACGAAGGGCCCATGGTTCCAACCTTAGATTTGGGCTAACAGGCTGCAGGGGGTGGCCATCTGAGCCAAGGCGCGAGAGGTCGCACCAAAGAGGCTGCCTGGGCTTGTGGAGGGTTCTCGGGCTTCAGGGGGGTTTAGGGCTTAGGGCTTAGGGTTTAGGGTTTCAGGTTTCGGGCTTAGGGCAGGGAGCCTGAGGCCGGTCCTTCACAAAAGCCCAAAAACCACGGGCAAACCCCATGAAACCCAGGCCCTCAGCCCTAAACCTAGAAATCCTGCTGGCCCTACATGCCCCAGGAGTCGACTCCACCAAGCTCTCATAAGCCCAAGCCCTCCAAAAACCCTAAACCCCAAATCCCGAACCCCAAACCCTAAACCCCAAACCCTAAACCCTAAACCCTAAACCCTAAACCCTAAACCCTAAACCCTAAACCCTAAACCCTAAACCCTAAACCCTAAACCCTAAACCCTACCAAGTGGCGGCTTCTTGTCCAAGGACGAGAGCGCCAGCTTCCCGCGGAAGCGCCGCAGTGCAGCGCTGAGTGCGGCCCCGCCTCAGCAGTTTAGGGTTTAGGGTTTGGGGTTTAGGGTTTAGGGTTTGGGGTTTAGGGTTTAGGTTTAGGGTTTAGGGTTTAGGGCTTAGGGCTTAGGGCTTAGGGTTTAGGGCTTAGGGCTCTTGTTGCCGGTTCGAAGCAAGGGTTTGGGGTTTAGGGTCTATGGGATAGGGTTTAGGGTTTACAGGTCTTGCAGGGGGTTTAGATCTTGGCAACTCTTCAGGGCGGAATACAAATTCTGAAGCTATACTGTCTCGGAAGTATCTGCACCCTAAACCCTAAACCCTAAACCCTAAAACCTAAACCCTAAACCCTAAACCCTAACCCTAAACCCTATTCCAACCAAACTAATGCATTCCATCTGACCCCTCGAGGGCATCCAGAGGTTCCCGTCATTAGCAACCCCCGTGTGAGAGCACAGATGCGTTTGGCTGGACTATTGCATGGGTTGGGGCTGCAGAGGATGCAGCCTCCCACATCCGGTGCCAATTACTAAAAGTACCTGAACCCTAAACCCTAAACCCTAAAGGCCCTAAATGCCCTAAAGGCCCTAGAGGCCCTAGAGGCCCTAAAGGCCCTAAAGGCCCTAAAGGCCCTAAAGGCCCTAAAGGCCCTAAAGGCCCTAAAGGCCCTAAAGGCCCTAAAGGCCCTAAAGGCCCTAAACCCTAAACCCTAGACCCTAAACCCTAAACCCTAAACCCTAAACCCTAAACCCTTCCCAGAATGCAGCCGGATGGCGGAAGGACCACCGCTGCGAAACATGCGCTTGAACTTCCTCGAGTTGGGGGGGCCGTTCAACTCTGAGTCCAAGGAACCTAAACCCCAACTTGGGATGTCCCTCCGAAATCTACCAGCTCCTTAAGGGGGATGATAATGGGGGGTTACTATAATCCCTATTAAGGACTGTTAGTATAAAGGGGGAACATGCCCAAATCCCAAAACTCCAAACTGGACACTTTGGGCGCTGGGCCCGCATCCGTCCTGCTGACTGAAGAGCCGCCGATGAAGCTCCACACGTTTGATTTCGATGCTGCCAGGCATGTAGGAAGGACCTTGCCCAGGGTTCTCAAATCAAAGCCTAAGGACCTTGCCAAGGATGAAGAAGGGCCGACCCAACACCTAAGGCCAACAACGCATACCTACTCGATGAATCCATTGTGACTATAATCACTCATATCGTTCTGATGATGATGATGATCATCATCATCATCATGATCATGATCATGATCATGATTATGTTGAATGATGGTGATGATGATGATGGTGATGATGATGAAGAAGAAGAAGAAGATGATGATGATGTATTAGGGGCGTAGGTCTAGGGTCTCGGGTGACAGCAGAGGCACTGTTGCTTGCCAGGAGGAGAAAGCCCTTGCGGTCCAAGGCCTGGGAAGCTGGGTTTAGCTCAGGCTTGGGGGTTTAGGGTTTAGGGTTTAGCGGGCTTTAGGCGCTTGATTCGAGTTCGGGACTTCGGTCTTCTAGGTTTTCGGCTTAAAGGTAAGAAACCTAAGCCCTAAACCTGAAAAACACACACAGAGACACAACTGACCCTTTAAATGCCTCAAACCCTGAACCATATTGTAAAAAACACAAGAACACTACTAACCGGAAAAGATGCCCCCGAACGCCACAAAACCCCAAAGTCTCCACCCTCCGAACCTGCCCTAAACCCTAAACCCTAAACCCTGAAGGATGAAGTCCGAGAGGCCCATCGAGTGGAGCCACCTGCCGGGAGGGTCCCCAAGCAGAGGGCCTGGTCCGCGTTCCTGGTTAGGGTTTAGGGTTTAGGGTTTAGGGCTTACGGCTTAGGGCTTAGGGCTTAGGGCTTAGGGCTTAGGGCTTAGGGCTTAGGGCTTGGGGTTTAGGGTTTAGGGTTTAGGGCTAGGGTGTTTTGTTTAGCAAGCTTGGCCGAGAAAGCTTGTTTTGCATTCGGCAATTTGGGGTCAAGCTTCGGCATACCCTCTGCCCTAGGTGAGGGTGACGGAGTCAGGCTAAGAGTCACATCTGGGAAACTTAGAGGACTCTAACCACCAGTGCATTTTTTCAACGGATTCCAACTTATGTAAAAACACGACGCTGAAGTTATGCTAGCAACTTACTCTGATAGCACCTTCAACAAGTACACTTGCCTCGGCAAAGCATGCTTCCGGGCAACAGCGAGTGCAGGTTGCTTCGGTTTAGGGTTTATGTGGGGTTTAGAGTTTAGGGTTTAGGGTTTAGGGTTTAGGGTTTAGGATTTAGGGTGTAGGGTTTAGGGTTTAGGGTTTAGGGTTTAGGGTTTAGGGTTTAGGGTTTAGGGTTTAGGGTTTACGGTTTAGGGTTTAGGGCTCAAAACTCACAAAGCAAGGCTCGAAAAGACTTGGATGTTGCTCTCTGCGGCGTTGCAGATGAAGTAGAGGCGCACGAAGCGATTCTGCTGTCCTTGCCGCTCAGGGTTTAGGGTGGTTTCGGGTTTAGGGTTTAGGGTTTAGGGTGTAGGGTGTAGGGTGTAGGGTGTAGGGTTTAGGGTTTGGGTTTAGGGTTTCAGGTTTAGGGCAACAAACTCCGCAGCATAGAAAGACAGGCAGAACGATCAGCCATAGTCAATGCACATCAACGATCTGTGTGTTTGCCAGACCTTCGCACCGCTCTGCCCCTCCTCTCTCAGGCAAAGCTCACTTGAGGCTTTAGTAGTGCTGTACTGAATTTGGGCACAAGCCAAGACACGCGCGGTTTCCAGCGAGCGCACGCTTTGCTCGCCTGAGTGCAGTGGCTGTTGGGGTGACAACGAAATCGAATTGACAGAGGACTTCCGGCGGTTTCAGAATTGAACACCCCAAAATCAGGGAGCCGGAAGGTTCGACCTACCCATCAGAACGAGCTGCTCTCTGCACCGCCGACCACCACGCGACTCTGGTCCACGAGGCATTCGGAGATGGTTGCATGGCTAGCCTTACCAGCAATCGTGAGCAGATGAGCGCACGGTGCTCGTAGCCGAGTCAGGAGGCCCAAAGCCCAGAGCCCAAAGCCCAAAGCCCTAAACCCTAAACCCTAAACCCTAAACCCTAAACCCTGAACCCTAAACCCTAAACCCTAAACCCTACCTTCGGAAGCCCCGGGATGCACTCACTGTCCCCAGTGTGTTTACAGTTGCGCAGCACCATGCAGACATGGAGCCCAGTCGCGGGCAATGTTTAGGGCTTTTAGGGTTTTTTTAACGTTGAAAAAAATTAGGGTTTTGGTTTTTTTAACATTAGCAAACCCCAGTTAGGGTTTAAGGTTGTTTAACGTTAAAAAAAACAATTTAGAAATTGGGTTGTTAACGTTTACAAAACCCTAAATAGGGCTTTTGGAGTGTTTCGTATCTTTCTATATACATATGACAATTAAGAAAACTCACTACATAGATAGTCTGTGTGTATACATATATATTGGTTTTCTTATTTATTTACTTATTTACTTACTTATTGATTTATTCATTTATTTTGCTTTTTGAAATATAGGCTGCGGCCGAGAGGCAGAGACCTCTGGCCAGGTTGCCTGGAATAAGGAGAAGGCCCGTGGGTGTGGACAGCGCAGCTCCACGATCAGGGTGTAGGACGAGACCGTGGCCCCGTGGTTCTCCTCAGCTCTGGGGGGCATTTGGGGGAGCGCTCGTGACGACGTAGACCCCCCAAAAGAAGGCACCCTCCATATCGAAATATATATATATATATACTCACCCTAAACCCCAAACCGAAAATTTAGATGTATAAATTGCATAAATGTGCGTAAATATGTATATATATATACACACACACACTCACCAATAACAGCACTGTAAACTCCACTTCCGGTGAGCGCCCTGGGACTGCAAACCCTAAGCTCCCCACAGGTCTCTCTTTAAGTTTTCGGCTTTAAGCTTTGTTTAGGGTTTAGGGTTTAGGGTTTAGGGTTTAGGGGGGTTTAGGGTTTAGGGTTTAGGGTTTAGGGTTTAAGGTCTAGGATTTATGGCATGGGGTCCCCCAGTAGACCTTCTGTCTGCGACAGAGAGATATTCGGAAAGTCAACTTCACTAAGCCGGCCGTCCCTTTTCTCGTTTCCCTTCCCCCACCCCCCATTCCCCAACCCCCAAACATTGCGCTTATCAACCCTTATCAACCCTGAACCCGAACTCCTAAACCCCGACGCATAGACCCCACACCCTGAACCCTGAACCCTGAACCCTGAACCCTAAAGCCTAAACCCTAAACCCTAAACACCACTCTGCCAAGGAACTGGGAAGTTCAAAGGCAGCTTCAGGTAACCCCCAGCAGGAACGGAAAGAACTGTGGCTTCACCTGTCTTTAGGGTTTAGGGTTTAGGGTTTGGGGTTTAGGGTTTAGGGTTTAGGGTTTAGGGTTTAGGGTTTAGGGTTTAGGGTTTAGGGTTTAGGGTTTAGGGTTTAGGGTTTAGGGTTTAGGGTTTAGGGTATAGGGTTCAGGGTTTAGGGTTTAGATAGAAAGGGGCTTGAGAAGGCTTGGAGTTACGTCGAAGTTCAGGGTGCTTATAACCCCAACTCTAACTGTACTGAGAAGCACCCGTCGTCCTCTAAGTAAGTGCTAAGTGGGCCTAGAATTGGGGTTACAAGTACCCATGAGCCTCCAAGTAGGATTTGGGCAACTTTTCTATGGGGCGACCCGGGGGGTTTCTGCTGTTCCCTTTCTTCTGGGGAGCCTTGCAGATTCATACTATTGTGGTCCGTATGTATACCATGACTTTTGCTGTTCGCAGGAAACTTGTGCTGCTAAACCCCTCATTAAGCTTCGTAGGCCCGCGTCCCGAACCCCAAATTGCGGCGTATTGAATGATTGTTACTACTAATCCCTACTACCCTTGTTATTCCTATAATTGTGTCATCATGTTTCTGATTGTTCATCTGAGTACAGTTGCTACGACTCAAAAACCAAATAGGCGTTCTGACTGATACGATTACAACTGATTGTGTAGTAATGATTGTGATTGTGATGATGATTAACCTAGGATGACTCTTAAAACCCTCTGAAAAAATATTCCTGCAGATGATCCTCTTAAACCCAGTAAGGGAAAATATAGAATGCCCCAAAGGCCTACCTAGCCGAGGCCGCCTGAATCTGGCGTCCGCATCAACCGCGCAGGTTGGCCCTCATGCTCCACGCCAGACGGGAGCTCACCCAACCGAAAATCGAAGAATACCTTGGGATGTTGAAGCTGGCTGGTTCTTCTTGGGGGAAAGATGGAATTACGGCCCTACATAATCCCTCAAAGGCTATAAATATGTGTGAACAAATATTTTTTTTTGATTTCATATTTGTTTACTCATATTTATATCTAGGGCCCAAATTCCCTCTCCCTACTAGGAGCCAGGGAAGAAATTAGGGCTTGGGGGGCGGTGGGGTGCGCAATTTCAGAGACTGGCCTTCGGGCTGGGATTTAGGGTTTAGGGTTTAGGGTTTAGGGTTTAGGGTTTAGGGTTTAGGGTTTAGGGTTTAGGGTTTAGGGTTTAGGGTTTAGGGTTTAGGGTTTAGGGTTTAGGGTTTAGGGTTTAGGGTTTAGGGCCCCCACAGCCTCTGTGCAACCTGGGCCGCCTTCTCGTTGGTGCGAAGGCAGGAGGTCAAGGCATCTGCATCGGGGTCTTCACCCTCCTCATCCTCATCCTTGCAATTCCGGGAGCACTCTACTACCTTCTGCAACAGAAGACTCATAGCTTTGCAGACTGCGGCCCTAGACCCTAAACCCTAAACCCTAGACCCCAAACTCGAAGCACGAAACCCTAAGCCCTGACACTCCGAACTGTAAGTAGCCCCCCGGATCTTCGAGCCCTAAACCCTAAACCCTCAGGCCTCTTCGCCATCCTCGTCCTCGTCGTCCCCGTCATCCTCCCGGGGTCGCCGCGAGGAGACCTTCGGGTGTTCCAAAACATTTGGCAAGCAGTGAGAATCTATGGAGGGTTTAGGGGGTTTAGGGCTTGATTTGGGTTTAGGATTTTAGGATTTTAGGGTTTTAGGGTTTTAGGGTTTTAGGGTTTTAGGGTTTTAGGGCTTTAGGGTTTTAGGGTTTTAGGGTTTTAGGGTTTTAGGGTTTTAGGGTTTTAGGGTTTTAGGGTTTAGGGGTTAGGTTTTAGGGGGGCCTAGCTAACCGGAAAATGGGTAATTTGGGCAGTTCTGCATGGGTTTGTGGGTGGAATCCGGTTCTTCTTCTTGAAGGCTGCTCTGCGCAGGTGATCTCTCAACTGTAAGCACGCCATGATGCGCCCATCACCCACAAGGCGTCTCAACTTTATTCGGGGGTTGTCCGGCCAGACCTCGAGACTGCTGCACCCAGGGGCCAAAAACACCCCCTAAACCTAGGGATTCTACACGCGGGGTTTTCCAGAATCCCTCTTCTAGGGGCCCTTATACCCCAACTAGCAGGATCCTTATGTTTATGCGGCCAACCCCTAAGTACCGAGTGCATGAGGCTGGCAAACGTTACAATCTCACTTCCCCCGTCCCATGCAGGCGAGGCTGACCTCGGGGCGGAGGCGGGTCGCGTAGCGCAAAAAAAACTTTCGGTGAGTTATTTGGGGTTATCTGGGGTTACTTTAGGGTTATTTGGGGTCATTTGGGGCTATTTGGGGTTCTTTGGGGTTATTTTGGGGTCATGTCGGGTTGCTTGGGTTTGTGGTGGTTGTTAGGGCTTGCGGGTTCACGGGTACGGGTTTACGTGGCCAAGGTGCATGGCTAGGGTTGAGGGTTCCCTTCGAGCGGAGTGCGCAACGCTTGCGATACCAGCGGCCTTAGCCCCAAACCCCCGCAACCTTCAAGCTTCGAAGCCCAAAGCCCTCCGAGAACTCAAACTTAATTCTCGGTAGTTCCCCTGAGTCCTCAGGCCCTAAACACCCTGAACCCTAAACCCTAAACCCTAAACCCTAAACCTAAACCCTAAACCCTAAACCCTAAACCCTAAACTGCAAAAAACTAGCATCAACTTCCATGCCTTTCTCTCGGCCCTGAGCCCCACGCCTTTGCTTGCGCCACTCCGCTTGCCTCGGCCGGCCACTGGAGACCTGTGGGGTTTAGGGTTTAGGGTTTAGGGTTTAGGGTTTAGGGTTTAGGGTTTAGGGTTTAGGGTTTGGGGTTTAGGGTTTAGGGTTTGGGGTTTGGGGTTTAGGGTTTAGGGTTTAGGGTTTAGGGTTTGGGGTTTAGGGTTTGGGGTTTAGGGTTTGGGGTTTGGGGTTTGGGGTTTGGGGTTTAGGGTTTAGGGTTTAGGGTTAGGGTTTAGGGTTCGGGGTTTAGTTTAGGGTTTCGGGTTTGGGGTTTGGGGTTTACGGGTTAGGGTTTAGGGTTCCCTTTTGGTGGTGCTTTTGAAGAGGGGGCTCCTGTCAAGAAGCCATTCAAAGCCGGTGTCACTTGTGAGGGCCCCTTTTCCTTCGGGGCTCCAGTAGGAAACACGTACCCCCATGCCAATCCTAAGCCCTACTCTGTTGTGTACCCCTTATGTACCCCCAAGGTACTATATAATCCTTTAAACGGAACCCCCCAAGAGGGCACCCTAAACCCTAAACCCGAAACACTAAACCCCTATTTTTGGAAACCCCCATTAACACCAAAAGCTTTCGGGTCCCTTCTTGGAGGGTCATGGTACTTCTTAACCAACTATAACTGTACGTATAGCCGACTTATCAGCCCCTGAAGTGCCCTGATGTGGTTCTAAGTACAGTCATAAGTACCCTAAACCCTTAACCCTTAACCCTAAACCCTAAACCCCAAACCCTATGAGTGCAGTTTCAAGTGGTTAAGAAGTACCAGGAACCTCAGGGGCCAAGACCTCGCTGCTCGAAGGCTGCGCGAAGGGCTTCCACATAGCCCTGAAGCTCCGGTTCAGACCTGGGGCACTTGGGATATATGCATACATACATATACATACATACACACATAAACAAAACATGCACATATATATACATATATAACTATATACATATACATATATACATATATACATATATACATATAATCTATATGTATATATACATATGCATACATCATATATCTGTATGTATATATATATATGTATATTTATTTGTTTATATATCTATATATATATATATATATTTCTTTATTTGCATATACTAATATAATATTTCTATATTTCTTTATTTGCATATACTAATATAAATGGTGCAGAGTCGCCCAGTCCCCCCCTCTCCCCCCCAAAGGTATGGTAACCCCCCCCCCCCCCATAATATGGCACCCCCCCGGCGCCCTCTGTGGTTGGTGTGGGTGGGATTTAGGGATTCTAAGCGGGATCGGTCTGAGGTGGATTAGGGTTTAGGGCTGAGGGTTTGAGGGTTTGTAGGGGGTACCTTATTCGGGTCCTTATTGTGAGTAAGGGAATCCTACTACTTGGGGGGTCTACATTGGGGGGTCCCTTATTTTCGTAAACCCCCCCCCCCTCATGAGTCCCCCAAAGTTCAGGGCTTTGCCACCCGCAACTGGGGCTGCGGACAGCGCGGACAGCTCCTCCCCCGTGGGCGCACTCTCCGCCATCACCGAAGCACCGGACTTTCTGTGCTCTCTGGTTACATATACTTAGCCTTACTTTGGGCGAGTCCTTACAACTCATAACCCTAGGGTTTAGGGTTTAGGGTTTAGGGTTTAGGGTTT